GTGGAGAGGAGAAAGCGTGCAAGAGAGAAAAAAATAAAGGCACTGCAGTTCCACTGCCATCCAGCCGCAAGGCGCACGGCCCCGCACGGCGGAAACGCGCCTGTTTTCGCAGAGAAGCAAAGAAACAAAGAGGGACGTAAATCCGCCCCAAAGATCAGCAGAAAGGAATACCGGAAAAAGGAAAACTGGGAATAGTAGAAAGAAGAAAGAACCGCCTTCCCCTTTCGCGCATGGAGCCGCCGCGAGGTGGGAGCAGTGGGTCCCCGCACCGAGCACAGCACGGGGGGTTTTAATATTGCGGCACCTGCCGGGTGCATTGCACGGCAGACACGCAAATAAAAGGGAACAAGTCAGCAGAAAACAATAAGCAACTAATAAAAGTACCGGGCCCGGGCGTTTCCGGCCTTCCCCAACCCTCAGCCCTCGCAGGGGCAGAATACGTTCTGAATTTACCAAGAAAAACAAAAGCAAATCCTAAAAACAAACAAAAAAGAACATGCACTAGAATAAACAACGAAAAAAAACGAAACCGGGAGAGGGGAGAACTAGAGACATCTAACCACAAACTTCACCTCACGAGAGCCTTCACGACGCCGAGGGTCCCCAGAGCCATAATCAGGGCGCCAAGGAGAAGGTACACGTAGGCACGTGCCCTGATGAGTGTGCAGCGCCTGCCAAATAGGCTGCGCCGCCAGTACTCCCGCGTCATGCGGGGCTCGGCAGGGTCCTCCACGCTGGACTCCACGAAGAGCGAGAGCAGCGCCGGCAGCAGCAGCAAGATGACCGCAGCCGGGAGCGCCCCAATCAGGGGGGCCACAAAAAAGACGGTGCCGGTTCCGGCGCCCATCGCAACGGCACACACGACCAGATTTGCGGCAATCCGCGTCAAGACTCCTTTGCTAGACCGGGGGCGGCACCCAAGCAGTGAGTCCAGCTGCAACACCGCGGGCGTAAAGAGGATGGGGTACGAGCACAGGATATTCAGCATATATGCCATACGCGCAGCAAGGTAAAGCGGAAGCTCGGCCAGCTCGGCAAATTGAGCCAGCATCAGCACATGAAGCTCCGGGCCGGTCGCCAGGCTCACAACCAACCCGTACAGCAAATACAAGCCAACAACCGAGTACAGAACGAGGGTAAGCACCCGCGGAAACGAAGGCCTCTTCTTGCACGAATTCTCGACGGGCAAAACAGCAGCAATTCCCCCCAGCAGCATCATGGTACTTGCCGCGTTGGTAAACCAACCAAACGGTATATCATTTCCCCAAGCTTGTTCGGTTACTTCCACGCCCCGTTCACGAATCATGTGAAGCGCCAGAGCCATCGTAACAATCATCGCGAAAATCATAGATACTGCGGAGATGATGGATATAACCAAGAGAAACGCCGAGTTATGGCCAAAAAATGTCATGGGCAGGACAACGACAAACATAAAGGTCATCCAAATATACTCCGCGCCTGGAAATGTTGCCGCAAGTCTTGCGATGGTGCCTCCAAACAGCTGCAGGTAAACCACACAGAAGCCGAGTTGGGTCAAAAGCAGGGCCAAGAGAAAAACGCACTGAAAGGGTTTCCCGAGCACAAAACCACAAAGCTGCAAATAGTCCGAAACAGAGCCTCGGTTCACCATTGTTTTGGCGCGGAGCAGCAGCCGGGAACAGTCCACCACGATGGAGCCGAGGACCAGGCCAATGATTGGGGACATCACATACCCAGCATACCGGTAGAAGTTGGGCAGGAGAAACACGCCAGACGCCACATTTCCCATAAAGATATTAAATGCGCACTTGAAGAGACCGGCGCTTCCAGTCGCCCCACGACGATCCCCTTCATTGGGATCACCACCGCCCCCAGCAAC